TTCAGAAATTTTCACTTAATCAGAATGAACAAGGTTTGTTTTAAGAAGGGTTAATACCTTAGTTTGACTCGAACTATAGACAAACTTTCTATTGTGGCCTGTGGTATCGGAAATTGATATTATAGCCTAAACTATCTAGCATACTTCCTTATTTGACCCGGAGGCGGGTTTGACCGTCAAATTAGACGGTCAACCGAGTTGACCGTTATTCAAGGTCCACCTCACATGGCACATCAGCTATCAGGGAATAATTTTTTCTGAATTTTGTTTACTTTCTAATAATAAAAATAATAAACAAAAAAATAATAATTAATTCAAAAGGTAAACAAAATTAACCTTAGGGAGCTCTTTTAATTAAATTTTTATTATTATTATTAAAAATAAACAAATTCAATAAAAATTATTCCCTGATAGCTTATTTGGCAAGTGAGGTGAACCTTGACTAAGTTGACTGTCTAATTTGACGGTCAAACCTGCCTCCGGGCCAAATAAGGAAGTATGCTAAATAGTTTAGGCCAGAAATAGCAAATTCCGATACCACGGGCCAAAGTAGAAAGTTTGTCTATAGTTCGGACCAAACTAAGGTATTAACCCTTTTAAGAAATAGTTTTTTTTTCAAGTTTCTATTCAAACTTTCTTGTTTTCTCTCTTTCCATCGTTATTTTCTCGCGATAAAATATTATTATTTATGTGTGCTTGTATAAAGTGTTCATCAAAATGTAACATATTTTTAAATTTTAGTAGAAATGAGTAAAAAATTTACTTAGTAAGCTTTAGTCATATATTTTTTGGTTAATTTTTTTTATATGTGTATATTGATACAATGAGAGATAACAAATGTAATATATGTCACTCCTCATACATTATTTATTATTGTGTATATTTATACAATGTAAAAACAAAAAAAAAAATATTAAAGAAAATGAAATATTAAATGAAGAGAGAGACAACTCCATAAATATATCACTAAATTTTTCTTTTTTAAAAATATTTTCCACCTTGACACTTTATGAACTCTCCAAGTGCTTAGGTGGCAAACAATTACTTTTGAATTGCCATAATATTATGTTAGTTAGTTAGATAGATAGATAGATAGATAGATTGATTGTAAATTACATTTACTTTTGGTACCATTTTTTTGACAAGTTAAGTTCATTAAGAACAAATGGGCCAAGCCCAGTGAAAAAGTTTACCGACAATTAAACAACAACAAGCTAAAAGACTAAAACACGGGCCCAAATGAAAGTCCAGAGACTCAATAGAGCCCAGACCATGGGCCAAAACCAGAGCTTCAGTCTTCTAACCCTAGCCGTTCAATGCCCTCCTCTGGAACCTCCGCCGTCATTTTGGGAAAAGGACCGCCGCAGCCACCAGCCAAATTCAAAGGAACCAGCCACCCCGAGTAGAGTGATTGGGAAAGGAGAACCTCCACACAAACCTCCCCGAGCCAATCGTCGTCTGTATCTCGGCGACCATTCACAAGAGAACACATCAGAGCAATCGGACGGCAGACGGTGGCTACAGAGGAAAAAACTTATTTCTTCAAGCTCTCCAGCCGTGTCCAAGCCAATGGCCGCATCTCCAAATCACAAGCACCTGCAAAGTGAAGCAAGGAGGTAGACAGAGGAAGGATGAGGAGAAGACAAGCCAGATCTAAAAGATCTAGCATCCTTTTCATCTTAGAGCACACACATCTCTAGATCTGAAAAAATCAAATCAGAGGGCAAAAGATCATCCCACGAAGGGGGAGGAAGGTACCCTCAAGGGGAGGAACATGCACAGATGAAAAGAAGCGAAACGAAAAAGTTGAAACATGCGAAAGAGAAGAGAAGGAAGAGAGTGGAAGACTACACTACGAAAGGAAGGACGGACTGCAAAAACTGAAAGAGTGGGGCGGAGGGTTGCCGCCGGGCGCCGGTCGCAGGAGGGACGCCGGCTACAGCCCCCATGACTCCCTCTGCCTGGGAAAGAAGGAAGGAAGTAAGAGAGAAGGCAGAGAGAAGAAGACTTTCTCTTGACTACTTTTGGTACCAAGTGAGAGGTTTTTCGTCTGTTTAATTTGAGGAACGCCTGATTGAGGATTGTTTATTTGAGGGTCGACCTATCCTTTTCTTATTGCACCTGCCTGTTGCTTAGTGGAGCTGATGCTTCTCTTTTGTTTTTTGGAGCTGTTGCAGGAGTCGGTGATGACACTCAAATTATATATAGTGTTTATATCATAGTCTTATGTGGTATATTTTCCTTTTTTATTGATGTATCTTTAGTAGTTATTACTCTAAAATTGTAACTATTTGATCAAGCATAAAATAATTTGGGTCGGTACATAAAATAATTAAATTAAATTAGGAGTAAATAAGGGGCATTTTGATCATCTTCTCGTCAATTAAACGATCAATTAACCGAAAAATAGACAGAAGAGTATACTTGTTATGTTTTAATATTAAAAGTAATAGAGGGTACATTTGTTAATTTGCAATAGTGTAGAAGGCTACGCTATTAATCCTATAATCTACAATATTATCAATTTGTAGACAAACGGATGCACATATATCCCAAGCAGCAATGAAATATCTCCACCACTGTAAGAATATATTAGCTAAAAATTAATATAGTGAAATAAAACAAAATACATAAAAGCTTTAGATTATCATGGAAAATATTATTTATTGCTAACTTATTGATGTAAATCATTTGATTGCAGAGTTACATCAACAAATCCGCTGTAGCTAGTAAAAAATTGAAATCAACTAATCGTTCCTCAAAGGGGAACTCCGGGATCGAGTCCCTGCAAAACTTTTTATAACTGCTTCTGTCCATTAATTAATCCATTATTTGAAAGAAAAAAAACTGGTAAACATGGAAGTCTTTGTTAATTCTACTCTAATGAATCACCTAATCTACTTGTGCATGCTTATGGTCGATGGCATTGCATGCAAACCTAAGAATAGCATACTCGACCATGGTGCCCAGGACTAGGGGAGGAGCGTGCGAAGTTTCGTTTGTCTTTGAATGAATTCGTGCCGATTGACTCTGTCGTCGGAGATGGAAACGAAACGTAGGGTTAAACAGTGTTACAAATATCATATAATAGTACAGTAATTAAGTGAACTTAGTTGAGATGAAGTCTTGCACTTATCTAAAGTATCATTGGATGAAAATATGCTTTTTTTTTACAGAAGATAATCATATATAGATTGAAACATAGATAGTTACATCCTGGAGGTCAGTCAGGCCTAAAAATCAATAGAACGACTTGTAGTCGAGAACAAGGACAAGCCTTTCTAGCCACCACATGAGCTACCCTATTGCTACTCCGACCTACAAATCGCAAACTAAAACTCTTTCTCAAACCAAGCAAATACATAACTTCTTCTAGAATAGCCCCTACTTGATTATCACCAGCATCGCCACGCAAAATTTTCTCAATCACCACTTTAGCATTGCCCTCAAAACTCATTTCCGTAAAACCAAGACCTATGGCCCAGGACACAGCCTCCCGAAGTGTAAGCAATTCTGCCACCATCAGGTCATCAATGTCTATAAACTGAACCCCCTATGCCAAAAGGGTTTCCCTATCAGGGGTCAAGATAACCATCCCCCAGCAAAGTGCGACCCTCTTCTTGTAGCCCCATCCCACAGACATATAGCCGCAACCGACTCAACATCTGGAAGAGAAGTGGTTGTGGCCCTGGAGATTAGGATGGCACAGTCCCTTGGCAGAGAATCTCATTCCTGAACCTGCTGATTATGCTGACGCAAGAGGGCCAGGAACCCAAATTACTCTCCTTCAAACACTACCCAGTTCCGAGACCGCCAGATGACAAAGACCACTGCCATAATCAGTGGGGGCTAACGAATCTCAGCCAACAGAGTCTTTAGGAAAAGATGAAAAGTATGTCTCGACAATCCTTCCCCAAGGTACTGAAGGCCGATCATATCCCAGAGAGCACGGGCCACTAAACAGTCCAGAAACAAAATATTCCACTGTCTCCGACTCAATCCAGCACATCGGGCACCTAGGAAGTACATCGACATTCTTTTCAATCAGAGCTTCAGTTGTGGGCAAGAGCCGGTGAAAGATTTGCCAGACAAATACTTTCAGCTTCGGAGGGATTTTTGCGTTCCATAATCTGATCCAGCTAGATCCATCCATCCAGCTTACAGAGGACTTCAACCCCCCTCTCTGTTGATCAAGGAGAACCGCAAAATGATATGCTGACTTAACGGTAAACTCACCATTAGTAGTAGCATGCCAAATCAGACGAACCTCAATATTCTACCTAGGTAACGGGATAGCCTTAATAGCTTGATAGGTGGGAGGGGCAAACCACTTATTAAGCTTCTGATCACACCATCGTCCCTCCCCTTGACAAATCACCTGCGCCACCGGCAAATCCCCTTCAACAGGTAGCACACAGGGGTTGTAGACCGGGTAACAAGGATGATTCCGGGGGATCCAATAGGATTTAAGGAGTGAAGACGTCCTACCATTTCCAACCTGCCAACGCAACCCTGTTTCAAGAAGCTAACGCCCATACAAAATACTCTGTCAGCCCCAAGAGGGCCGGAACTGAGCTGTAGCCGTCAAGAAGGAACCATTGGGAAAGTACTTCCCCTTGTAAACCTGGGATAACAGAATGGGGTTCATTCAATATTCGCCATCCAATCTTAATTAAAAGAGCTTGATTGAAATGCTCAAATCGACGAAAACTCATTCCCCCATCATGCTTGCTGCGACACATATTACGCCATGACATGCACCGGATACGAGACTGCCCCTCCTCCACACCCCACCAGAACCGGACAACATGCCCATCAAGGAGTCGACAAAGGAAAAGGGGTTGTTTAAAACACGACATGAGAGGCAGAGGTAGGGCCAAGGTCGAGAACCATGGTACCCCTCCCTGTAGGAAGTGTAACCAGGCTCTGATACCAATTGATGAACTCGTAACCCACGAGTTCAAGGATTCTGCTTGTAACTCACAAGCAAGAGCACGACGTAAGTTTCAAAAACCTATTTTTTTATTGATTGATTAAATCGGACTAATGCCGTAGTTACAATATATAGGAGACTAAACCTAATACGCAACCCTTGCTAGTCCTTAATCCTACTAGGACACTTGGCCAACATGGACTCCTACGAAGCCTCTACTTACTATTCGGCCTTATGTTCTCATCAACCAGTAGTCACAAAATCGATTGACTGTTCAATATAAAACCAGTTGGCGACAAATACAAGAGTGAAACATCACATTGCATCCAATGCACCTAAACATTCTCCAAAATGGGATGGCTATATGATCTATCCACATCTGATACAATGACCTATCATGTAACTTGCAGAGCCCAAACACGACAGTTCCATAAATCATAAAGAATACAACAGAAGCGGTTCAGAAGCTGACCAAACCTTTCTCCTTCAGACATTCTACGGTGTCCCTAAGGCTCACCTCCAGAGGAGTAAAGTTGACACCCAAGCTCTTGGCCTTTTCTTGGGAGATCTTGCATTGGGGTTGAAATGTCTCATAGTTTTCCCAACTGTCATTCATTAATAAACCAAAATCTTCTCTGAGGAGCATTGTAATCAATCAATAATAATCTCAATAGATCTCGAGTTAAACAATAATACAGAACTTGATTCCAATGTGCTTCCGAGTTCACCACCATACAAACATAGCTTCGCAAGAACTGTCTGTAAAAGAATGATCGTACTTACTTTCCAGATAGTGGCAGATTAGGGTAAAGTTCATGCATAATCTTCAAAGCCTCGGTGTAGTGAACCATGCTTCCAACAACGCAGCATCTGCCACTAGCTGATGGGACCTCAAATGCTTGAATATGTGCATTCGCCACATCTCGAACATCGACAAATCTAAAGATATCTGATGGAAATGCTCGATTTCCTGCATTCAAGAAACAGAACTTCTAAGTGGGCAACTCTCCTTCTTAACAGGTCATATAGCCTCCGAAAGATTAACAGCTCGGTTATAGAAAAACATTGCTTTTAAAAGTACCACCATCGCTGATCTTTACAGACAACAATCTGATGATATCCATCAGGTAGACTGCACTTCACATATACACTATGATCTCAGGTTCACTCACCGGACAATGAAGGACACAGCTCAGAGAACTCGAATCAAATATGAAACTCAAGCTACAGCACAAACATACAGAGAAATCCATTTTCCTTCAGGAAATACAAATTCTAGAATAATAAAAGAATGCACACCATTTATAAGCCTCAGAACCTCCTCCACTGTGAAATTAACAGATGGCTGCAGGAAAGGACCAATTACGAACCCCGGGTTAACCGCAACAAGATCGATCCCGTTCTCGTTAGCAAACTTCCAGGCAGCCTCCTCTGCCAAAGTTTTTGAGAGCATATACCAATGCTTGGGGGGAGAGGAAAGAAGGTTGCGTGTGAGAAGACCAGGAAATAAAACCAGAACTAGAGAACTACTCTGCAAGGAAATGGCCTGCTGCATACCTGATATTTTGCACAAAATTCTGGATCAGAAAACCAAGTCTCGTCGATCACAACACCAGCGGAAAGAGGTTTCCTATTACAAACTACTGAAGCCATGGAAGAAGTAAGAACAACTCTCTTGACAGAAGGCATTTTCGCACATGATTTCAGAACATTGAGTGTGCCCTTTACTGCCGGGTCAATCAAGTCGGCCTGAAATAGCAAATAACGCAGAAATTAGACCTGCACTTTTAGCATAATGCTAATCACTACTCACAGAAATTACACAGTATAAACACAACAAACAGAGATGCTCATTAGTGCATGTTGGAATCCAATACTCCAAGCAACAACATTTAGTTATGCTTAATCAGAAATTGACACAAATCAAAAGTACAAGAAGGCCAAACCTATCAACCAATGCAGTTGTAGAATCAAGAATTTTCAAGAGCTGGTGAATGCAGAGGTCAACAAACCTGTGGGTTGCTAGTTTGAAAAAGAACAGGGGAAGCAGTATGAAAGACGGCTTGGCATCCATCAACAGCAGAATCGAAAGACCCTTCTGCAGTAAGATCTGCTTTGTACAGTTGAAGCCTCTCATTTGCGCCATCAAGGGAAAGCAAGTGCTGGGTCTTCGTTTTGTCATCTGTAGCATATACCAAGTTTTTTCTTTTTAAAATAAGATAATGAAAAAAATATAGAGGGGAGACCTTCCAAGTTCAAGCAAGAGCTCAGAGTAAAGATTCAGCTGGGAAACTTTTCAGACATCTTTCACCCTAAAAGAGAGATAGAACAGAAACGCAGGAGAGGGCTACAAACCTGGATCACGAACAGTGGTTTTTACTGTATATCCACGTTCCAGCAAGAGCTTGATGATCCATGAGGCGATGTAACCCGACCCACCCGTCACACACACTACTCCGCATTCGGCGCTCATCTCTCTCTCAACAAGAACAGAAAATTATGTGAAAGAGACCAGGAACTCCGTTTACAAGTTATCAAACAGACAACTTTCTATTTCAACCACTAAAACAGAGGATTTGTCAAAAGGAAAAGCTTCTGGATAAGAAAACGATTCCAGAGTCCAGACTGAGGAAGACGAAGGGAGTAGGTAAAATGACTGAGCTAGCGGGCTGAAACTAGGTCCACTCAATTTCTCGTGTAAAAACTAAATATTTAATGCCAAACAGAATGTTTAAACCCAAACTATACTTGGCAAATTACAATCCGACCCGTTGACCCAATTCGACCCAAAATCGTCTGAAAACTAGAAACTTTTTTAACCCGAAATCCAAATGATCCGAACTCGATAACCCGTGATTTTTTGGGTCGGGTTGGGTGGGTTAGCGGGTCGACCCGTTAGACCCGTTCCATTTAATATATTACTCCAAAAAATGATAAAATCACTCATAAATCGGTGAGGTGTTAAAAAAAACACAAGGATTTGAATGATATGTTTGGAGTTTAAGGATAATCAAATATCATGTGTTTCTTATAGTAGTATTGCTCTTGTGATTGTATTTTACGATTGGAGCAATTTATATTTCATTTCATTAGCGTGTGAGGATTTGAGAATATGTTAATTGACATGTGTTAGGTAAACTATTGTCATGCATATGTGAAAATTTGTGTTCTTTAAGAAAATATGAAGCATGTTTGATATTGTTTCGGAGAACGCTCATAACCCGAAATGACATGTAACCCGACCCGAAACCGAATGGGTTGGGTCAATATTTGACCCGAAATAAGTCAACCAAACATGACACGACCCGTAACAGAAGTTCCCAACCCGAAATTACCCAACCCAACCCGATTGCTAGGTCTACCCAATACCAGAGTAAATATAATTTATTTATTAATTAAATGTTTAAATTTTGACAAAATATTAGTCAAGCATGTCAAGATGATAAAGAAAACAAAGCAGGAGTTCGTGAAGGTGAAGCAGAGGATGCAGAGCTGGACTGGACTCATTGGGCTTCAGCTTGAAGAAGACAGCAGTGAAACGCGTTTCGGACTCGAAGACGATTCGCTGTATGGGAAGCGTTTTGAGCCTTCGTCTGGAACGCATCATCATTTTATCAGTAGTGGATTTAGTTCTATTTAAGCCTTTTGTTTATCACCACGTGTCAAGGTGAATTTGGAATTTTTTTTTATTTACCGTTATGCACAGTAAAACTGGAAGGCCGAGTATAAATGTGAAGCAACCCTGCAACTCATCGTTTTGCGGGTTTTCAATCAAACCTTTGCCCTCTTGATATTTTCTACATGGTATCAGAGCCCCAGATCTGATTTTCACTTCTGACGGAAATGGCTGGCGTTTCTTCTCTAGTCATTTCAGTTCACCTATTTCTGCTCTTGATAAGTCTATTCATCTGGAGGATTTTGTTGATGATGCTCCTGAACTAGAGGCACAAGAGGAATTTGAAGGCAAACCTATTCGTGTTAATAGAGGCAATATGCCAGTCAAGTTTAATGATTATCATGTTGAGCCTCAAAGTAAGGAATGACTAGATGGTTGTGACTTTCTTACTTACTCAATCCCTCTTTTTCCTTTGCTTTACTAGTTCATGAGGGATTTACTTGTCTATGTCTCCTTCTATTTTATATTTTAGGCCTCGAGTTCGCCTCGATGGTTATGCCGCGATGCTATGAAAGCCTATATACGACCTATAGACTCCTGTAACCATGACATATTGATATGATCCAAATTGGCCACTTCTACAAGTCACAATTACTTGCCAAAGAAGCTATAAAGGTTGCAAAGAAGAAGGGCAGAATTTGGCTAAGTCAAAATCCGTGTTCAGGGTACATACTTTGGAGGCATGGTTCTATCAATGTGCTTGGTGGCAATTCAAGTTTAAGGGTTTGTTTTGCAGATCAAGTTACCATCTTTCCAATGGTATGCTTTATGAACCCAGATGATGTCATTAAGGTTGTTTTCCAAGGCCTCAAAGTTGCTACCTCAAAACTGGAAAACTGCCAGAAAATGGCTAAGGCAGAAAACTGTTTTGTGAAGCCTACTTTGGAGCTCAATTCAAGGAGCATGGATCTGATTCGAGACCAAAGGCTTCTACAACATAAAACTAGGTATGTTTATCTACCAAGGGAAGGAATCGGATGAAAGATCGGAGTTCTGGAAGGTCTCGAACGAAAGGCGCGAAGTTAGTACGAAAGCTGCCTTTTGACTGTTTTGCGGGCAGCTTACTTGTGCTTCAAGAAAGGAAGTTTATGGCCGAATTTAGAGTCCTTTTTAGAGTTGTTTTTACCTTAATTGTTTCCTTGTTCATCTAGATTTGTATTAGGTTTTATTTGCCTTTAAATACCGTTCTATTTACGTTGTAAAACAGAAGACTTTGTTGAATAGAAATCGAAACCTTTGGGTTTTTGCAAGTTTGCGTACTTGTGTGAGCTTTGGTGGATTCCAAGCTCGTTGAGCTCTTGTATCGATCAAGAACGCGTTGATCGTGGTCGGGCATCTACCTTTTATACCAATCGAGCATTCCCCAGGTGTGGAATCGTCCTTTTGGTTCCGTTTTATCCAAGTTCGTATTAAGAACGCTTCGTTCTTGATTCGAGCTCAATCGATTCTTCGATTGAGTCGTTAGCTGCGTGACTTTGATAACATACACCCCTAGGGGCGTATTAAGTGGTATCAGAGCCCCGTTCAAGTCAGGGCGAGGAAGGAGGCTGTGTTTCGTGCAAAAAAAAAAATCAGCCGCAAAAACAAAAAAAAAATTCAGAGGAAAGCAGAGTAACAATGGTGGCAGCAGAGTTAGCAAATTCGATGGTATTCACGCGTTGCTTAATCGAGGAGCAGCTGTGTTTAGTTCTCGTGGATGGAGGCAGGGATAAGAACTTAATTTCCTCCAGGGTTGCAAGCAAGCTAGGACTGCAATTCCAGTTACTTCCGCAGCCCTATATTTTCCAATCACCGTACGAAAACTCATCAAGCATCGTACTGTCTCAGGTAACTGTGAAATTCTCAATTGGTCAATACGAGGACCAAGTTACGTGCGATGTGATTTACAATCTCCCCAGCAGCATCGTTCTTGGTCAGCCATGGTTCAGAAAACGTCAAGTTCGTTTTGAAAGCCGACGGAGCAAGAAATTCCGAGTTCAGAGACGAAACCAAGTATTCCTCTTGAATCCTTTGGCTCCAGAAGCAGCTGCTGAAGACTTGAAGGTGCTTCAAGGACTCCAGGAGGAGTACCATTCATCATTGGTGGCAAAGGCGTCGTCGATGAGAAGCAAGTCCGTCCAGACTCTGCTCAACCAAGAAGACCCCTGTTCGTCGACGGCAGAGCAGAGCGGAGTAGAAAAGGACTCGGGCAGCGACGTGGGGGAAGCTTCGAGCGAACCCAATTCATCCTCAACGATTATTGACACCCCAAGAGTGGATTTGGCAGAAGAAATCGTCCCAATTCAAGGCGAGACGGCGAGCTCAATCCAGGCTGTGCACCCTTGTTTTCCGACGGAGATGCAGGGGAAGAGAGAGGTTGAATTCGGTGGAGCACTGGGAGAAGAATCGGATGCAGTCAGACAAGACAATGTGTTCCCTACAACCCCAAGAAACTCCTCCCTGGAGTGGTTTGAGACGATTGCAGCCATCGTCCAAGATCCCATTCGAGCAAAACTTGCTCTGCAAACGCTCAAACACGAGCAAAATGCGAGCGAATGGGTTGGAAGAGCTGAGGGCGAATCGACGCCAAATGATATTGCAAAATGGGAGTTGCTAAAGGTCGCCCTTAAAATTGCTAAAGGTCGCCCTAAAAAGAATAAAAGTTACACTTTTAACCCCCATAGCTTCTTTACCTTCCCTTCCTCAAACAAACATCACTTGGACTAAAAAAACACTCTCTAAGGAGAGAAAAATCTCTCATCGTCATTTTGAAGCCGATATCGTCGATAGGACGTCTGAATCATGAGTAGCGACTCCGACGAGGTAAGAACATGAACAAAAAAAAAAAAAAAACACAGAAAATGGGAACCGCGGGTGATTTGCGGTCCGACCATGGTCCAACCGCAAGTAACCTGCGGTTGGACCATGGTCGGACCGCAAATCACCTGCGGTTGAGCCATTGGTGGACCGCAATTGACCTGCGGTTGGACCATGGTCGGACCGCAAATCACCTGCGGTTCAGCCATGGTCCAACCGCAGGTCAATTGCGGTCCACCAATGGCTCAACCGCAGGTGATTTGCGGTCCGACCATGGTCAAACCGCAGGTCACTTGCGGTTGGGCATTTTTTGGTTTTTTTTTTTTTTTTTCGTTGAATAATTTTTTTTTATATGATTTATGATTGTTCCATGAAATAATTTGTTGGGTTTTGATTTATATAATTTATTAGATTTATTTGCATAATTATTTTTGGAATTGAAGGATTTAGCATTAGAAATTAAGATTAGTTTTTTGGAATTGAAGGATTTAGCATTAGAAATTAAGATTAGATTTGGCCTTAAATTAAGATTAGATTTAATTTGGTGTTAATCTAGAAAATTAAGATTAGATTTTGCATTACAAATTAAGATTAATATAATTTATTAGATTTATTGGGTTTTGATTAGATTTTTGGAATTGAAGGATTTAGCATTAGAAATTAAGATTAGATTTGGCCTTAAATTAAGATTAGATTTAATTTGGTGTTAATCTAGAAAATTAAGATTAGATTTTGCATTACAAATTAAGATTAAATTTATTGCATAAATAATAGATTCGCATATGAAGTTATGATGATTATTAATTTTAATACTGATAACATTGCAGGATATTGGAAGTTACAATCCGGATGGCCATGATTACACCTCGGATTTCATTGATGGCGTGAAATACACTACGGAGTTGCAAGCATATGAAGCAGCCATTGAGATTGCAAAGGGTTTTGGGTTTTATTTGGTGAGGGCATCGAACAAAAAAAATACGAATGAAGGTACTTGGCGACATTACTTACATTGCACTCATGGTAGGAAGAAGAAGTCGAAGGAACCTGATCCGAGTAAGGAAACGAGGCCTCTTACATCTACTGAAAAGTTGGGGTGCGAGTTTAAGATCAAGCTTGAGCGGTCTGGTGTAGGAGTACTGGTAGTGCCTCGACTAAGAGACAACTGCCCCACAGTAGGGTGGCCGTCAGGACGCACTACATCCGCCTTCTTCTTCCTTCTAACCTTAGGTGGATTTTTTTCTTCATTTTCCTTCCTACCAGTCGCCGTAAGTCTACAAGCACGACCCTCCATTCTCTCCTTATTTCTCGCCTTAATCATATCCGGTTTACCCATTCCATGTCCAGACATCTTCAAAAAAAAGTTTGAATTATTAATAATGGAGTACATAAAGTAATTAATTTAAGATTTTCATAATTAAAATTATAAAACTAATAGTTTTAACATTATGTTACGTTCTATGTAATAATTATTTACTTTTTAATCAAGGTCAAATTATTAATAATTAAGTAGATAAACGAATTACTTAGAAATTTTGATTATTAAAATGATAAAAACACATTTTTAATATTTTCATAATGTTCTTTAAATTTGTTATCTTCAATTAACAATTATCGAATACGATTTTAAATTTTTTTATATTATATAACTAAATTATAACTAAATTAATATTATAACTAAATTAACATTTATCGAATACGTTATTATTAATTATCATTATAACTAAATTAGTATTTATCAATAATATAACTAAATTCTTTTATTATGTATATTTTTTTAATTTTTTTTATTATTATTAACATTTATTTAACGAATAATAAAACACAGAATTTAAAAAACAGAATTAAAAAAAACCGAACCGCGGTCAATGCGCGGTTTGACCGACGGTCAACCGCGGTCAACGCGCGGTTTGACCGACGGTCAACCGCGGTCAACGCGCGGTCCGACCAGCGGCTGACCGCGGTCAAAGCGCGGTTTACCCATCGGTCAACCGCCCTTTGACCGCGGTCAGCCGCTGGTCGGACCGCGCGTTGACCGCGGTTGACCGTCGGTTCAACCGCGCGTTGACCGCGGTTCGGGCAATTTTTTTTTTTTTTTTCTTACCTTCTTCTCCACGACGCGACGGGACGGGCGACGGGCGGGCGGCTGGCGACGGGTGGCTGGCGACGAGCGATTCTCCGCGAGGCAGGCGGCGACGGGCGGCGACGGGAGGCGACGGGGGCTGGCGGCTGGAGGCGACGGGGGCGGCGGGCTGGCGGCGGGAGGCGACGGGGGCGGCGGGCCGGCGGCGGCAGGGGGCGGCGGGCTGGCGTCGCCGGCAGTTGAGGGGGCCGGCGGTTGAGGGGGAGGGAGTGAGTGCAGAGGTGAGAGTTGGGGGGAGGGGGAGGGAGAATGAATTTGAATTTGCCTTAAGGGCTTGTTTGTTTTGAGTTTTTGCTTAAGGGCATGTAGGTAATTTTATATTTTAGTTAGGGCGATGTTTAGCAATTCTTAGGGCGACATTTAGCGATTCAGTTGCAAAATCATTGGTAAATGATGCTCGAAGGTGTAGGATAGTTCAATTGGCCACGAAGACCCCTGTATTACAAACGCCCAATTCACAAATTTCGGTTTCAAACGTGAAACGCGACGAGGATAAAAAGGAGGAATCGGACGTGGAGTTTCAGAGTGATTCGAACCCACCGGAGGCTCTAGACAAGTTCAGGGAAGTCCATGGAAGGTTTCAGATTCATCAATTGGACGAGGAGAGGCCAAAATCACAAACGCCCAATTTTTTATTTGGCTCGCCGGATTCTGGAATGGAGTCGCCGGAATCTGGGAAATTCGAATTTCCCGACGGCGGGAAAGGGGAAATCAACGATTCGACGAAGATGGTGATGATTCGAGGCAAGAAGACGTTCCAAAAACTCAATTCGGTGCCCTATGAAGCCAATGATGACAGAGAATTGAACTCGAGGTGCAGGAATCAGAAATCCCAAATTTGGAGGAGCTCGCCGGAGTTGCGAAGGCCGCCGGAAACTGGAGAATCGCAGCAACGTATTCTGGGTTTGTTTGAGTATAATTGTTTCATGGGAAAGGTCCATTGGAGTCACACGAACGTCATGGAACTTAAATTGTGGAAAACAGCCACCAATTCGCGAGTTAACGACGTTTTGAAGTTCAACATTGCAAGGTCGAGGTACCTATTTCGTGACTCAATTTGGGTTCAGTTTGCGATGATTTTGATAAAATAAAAGATCAAGCTTTGAGGGCAAAGCTTTTTGAAGAGGGGGAGCCTGATATGATCCAAATTGGCCACTTCTACAAGTCACAATTACTTGCCAAAGAAGCTATAAAGGTTGCAAAGAAGAAGGGCAGAATTTGGCCAAGTCAAAATCCGTGTTCAGGGTACATACTTTGGAGGCATGGTTCTCTCAATGTGCTTGGTGTAAATTCAAGTTTAAGGGTTTGTTTTGCAGATCAAGTTACCATCTTTCCAATGGTATGCTTTATGAAGCCAGATGATGTCATTAAGGTTGTTTTCCAAGGCCTCAAAGTTGCTACCTCAAAACTGGAAAACTGCCAGAAAATGGCTAAGGCAGAAAACTGTTTTGTGAAGCCTACTTTGGAGCTCAATTCAAGGAGCATGGATCTGATTCGAGACCAAAGGCTTCTACAACATGAAACTAGGTATGTTTATCTACCAAGGGAAGGAATCGGATGAAAGATCGGAGTTCTGGAAGGTCTCGAACGAAAGGCGCGAAGTTAGTACGAAAGCTGCCTTTTGACTGTTTTGCGGGCAGCTTACTTGTGCTTCAAGAAAGGAAGTTTATGGCCGAATTTAGAGTCCTTTTTAGAGTTTTTTTTACCTTAATTGTTTCCTTGTTCACCTAGATTTGTATTAGGTTTTATTTGCCTTTAAATACCGTTCTATTTACGTTGTAAAACAGAAGACTTTGTTGAATAGAAATCGAAACCTTTGGGTTTTTGCAAGTTTGCGTACTTGTGTGAGCTTTGGTGGATTCCAAGCTCGTTGAGCTCTTGTATCGATCAAGAACGCGTTGATCGTGGTCGGGCATCTACCTTTTATACCAATCGAGCATTCCCCAGGTGTGGAATCGTCCTTTTGGTTCCGTTTTATCCAAGTTCGTATTAAGAACGCTTCGTTCTTGATTCGAGCTCAATCGATTCTTCGATTGAGTCGTTAGCTGCGTGACTTTGATAACATACACCCCTAGGGGCGTATTACATATTCACTTACTTACTTTAGTGTAAACATAATTTCTTTGCAAACTAACGAAAATATCAAATAAAAAGAATGATTAATCCCACAAAAGATAAAAAAAAAGTTTGTTTTCACGAGGTACAACTAGCAATTCCTATTTAACTGAATCGACCATAGATCAATTCCCCTTTTATTGTGGAGTATTGAATACACCTATAATTCTGAGCTTCATGTTACTCCTCCCAAGAGACATGTCAGGGCCGGGGCATCCCAATTCGATTAAACGGGATGACAGTTTTTCATTCCGAAACTGTAAAATCAGAATTTCGATCAAATCACACATCGCAGTATACTAGGCTTTCTAATTCTTTAAGGGGTTTGTCTAAGAGATTCGCGATATAACTAGGAAGACGCTTTAAATACCACACATGAGTTACCGGACATGCCAGTTTGATGTAGCCCATTTGATACCTTCGTATCCGAGAATCAACAAATTCAACTCCGCATTGTTCACAAAACTTTGGGTTTTCTTTTCCATCTCCGATTACTCGATAATTCCCACAAGCACAAATTCCACTTTTTATTGGGCCAAAAATTCTTTCACAAAACAATCCATCTTTTTCTGGTTTATTCGTTTTGTAATGAAAAGTATAGGGTTTTGTCACCTCGCCAACAATCTCTCCATTCGGTAGGATTTTTTTGGCCCAAGCGCTTATTTGTTGAGGCGAAACCAATCCAATTCGGAGTTGTTGATGTTTATACCGATCGATCATAGAAGAAAATTTCTGATTCATTCCGATTAAGCTTCCTTCCTATTAATCTGGAAGTTCTTCTCAGATACAAGGAAATGATTCAGTTCCAGAGCCAAAGATCGTAATTCTCGAACGAGCAATCGAAAGGATTCTGGAGCATCTTCCGGTTTAGGCACTGCTCCTCCAATGATCGTAGTACCAAGAACTTCTTGGCGAGCTCTAATATGATCCGATTTATAAGTAAGCATCTCTTGTAAAATATGAGAAACACCAAATCCCTCTAGAGCCCAAACCTCCATTTCTCCTACCCGTTGACCCCCTTGCTTGGCCCTTCCTCTAAGGGGTTGTTGTGTAACAAGTGCATAATGCCCGCTGGAACGTCCATGTATTTTATCATCAACTTGATGAATTAACTTTAATATATAAGACTTTCCTATTATAACAGGCCGTTCAAAAGGATCTCCCGTTCTTCCATCAAATATTATACTTTTTCCCGGGAATTCGGGTTCAAATACCCACGGATTTGCTGTTTGTTTACTGGCTTCATATAATTCAGAAAACACAAGTTTTCTTGAAGCCTCTTGCTCATATCTCTCATCAAACGGTGCTATGCGATAATGTGTATCTAGCAGACCTCCTGCTATCCCAAGGGAGCATTCAAATATCTGTCCTACATTCATTCGTGAAGGCACCCCTAACGGATTGAAGACCATATCAACTGGTCTTCCATCTTGCAAATAAGGCATATCTTGTCTAGGCAAAATTTTTGAAATGATGCCTTTATTCCCATGTCTTCCAGCTACTTTATCGCCGACTTTGATTTCACGTTTTTGTAATATATATACACGAATCGTTTCTGGATTATAGCTGGAACCCCCCCGTTTCCTGATCCATCTCACATCAATCACTCGACCCCTACCACCTATAGGTAGTTTTAGACAGGTTTCCTTTGAAGTAGATACCTGAATTCCAAGGATAGCTCGTAATAATCTATCTTCCGGGGCATACGATGATTCTTTCGCGATTTGAGGCGTTAATTTACCTACTAAAATATCACCTGTCTCGACCCAAGATCCCAACATAACAATTCCATTTTTGTCTAAATTTCGGAGTAAATGGGCTTCTAAATGTGGTATTTCATTAGTGATCCTTTCAGGTCCTTGGCTTGTTGCCTGAGTCTGAATTTCATATTTACGTATGTGAAAAGAAGTAAAAATATCTTCATATACCAGACGTTCGCTAATAAGAACCGCATCTTCAAAATTGTAACCTTCCCACGGCATATACGCTACGAATACGTTTTTGCCCAAGGCAAGTTCGCCGCCAACTGTAGCGGCACCATCCGCTAAAACTTGTCCCTTTTTAATGCAGTTACCCCGTCGAACCTGAGTTTTTTGATGCATACAAGTATTTTTGTTGGAACGCTGATACATAACTAATGGAATGCTTAGAGTATCTTCATTGCCCCATAAAAGGATCTTATCAATCTCGGTAGAAATTATCTTTCCCTCATGTTCGGCTATAGCGGTGGCCCCTGAATCGAGGGCCACTTGGCGTTCCAATCCAGTTCCAACAATGCACTTCTCGGACCGAGAAAGCGGAACTGCTTGACGTTGCATATTTGAACTCATCAAAGCTCGATTAGCATCATTATGCTCGATAAACGGAATGAGGGAAGCCCCAATGGAAAAATATTGGAAGGGAAAAATACTTCGAAAATGAACCTGTTCCCACGCAACAGTCAGGAATTCTTGACGGTATCGAGCCGGAACAACCTGCTCCTCTTGAACACTTCGATTGATCGCCAAAGAATTTCCTACCGCTACCATAGAGTATTCGTCTCTATTTGGTGATAAAAAAAGCATCCGTTTTTTTTTTGATCTGTCAGAGATTTTATAAAATGGGCTTTCTAAAGACCCCCAAGCATCAATCTTGGCATGAATTGATAAGGATCCAATAAGTCCAACATTGATTCCTTCAGATGTGTCAATTGGGCAAATGCGTCCATAGTGACTAGGATGGATATCTCGTATCCGAAAACTCGCAGTTCGCCCCGTCAATCCCCCCGGACCCAAATAACTCAATTTTCTCCCATGAACTATTTGGGTCAATGGATTAGTTCGATCCAAAACTTGAGATAATGGGTGCAATCCGAAAAAGGATTCAAAGGTGGTTGTTAATGAAGTTGAAGTTACCAAATTTTGAGGGGTCGGTATCAATTTATGCCGAATTGCTCCACATATAGTTCCTCTAACCACATTTTCTAAACGAACCAGAGCCAATCCGAATTGATCTTGTAAGAGATCCGCTACAGAACGAATACGCTTATTTTTTAAATGATTCATATCGTCAACTGTACCCATTCCCACAGTCGAAATCATAAGCTTACCAGACACATATATAGTGTCTCACCACTGCTTTGACTCCCAAACAACATGAAGAATTCGCATTGATATGAGGATGGAGTTGTCTAGTGGTAAGGAACTAACTGGTTGTAATCTTGGACCGAAGTCAGTGCATCAACTGCTTAAACAGCTTTGGCGGACTAAGTTACAGCATTCCTCAACCTTCGGAGTATATTGCATTCCTCACAAAAGACCATCAATGATGACGACTCCCATCCGAGGCAAGAAAAGAATTGGGCGGAAGGTCCCATCCCTGGATACCTGGTACATGGCAACAAGGAAAGCGGCTAATTGGCTCCACCTCTGAAGGCGCACCATCTTGGGTACCACGATTTTTCGTTGTTTAAATACCGCTTAAAGCATTCTATATGCAAAAAAAAAAAAGAGAAAATGGTTTGGCTTACCACATGCGAATTGAAGAAGCTTATTTCATTCATTTCCCTTACCAGCTTTAGTAGCATAGATAGGGTCATAGGGCCTTGTGTTTCCCGATCATCTTCAGAAGCTGAATACAGAGCTTTGCCTCAATTAGTGTGTGAATTGCAGTGGATGAAAGGTTTGCCTGCAGAGTTGAGCATGGATATACAGCTACCTATTACTGTGTGTTTGTGACAACATATCAACAATACACATTGCTGAGAATCCAGTGTTTCACGAAAGAACGAAACACATTGAGATTGACATTAATGTGACTCGTGAAAAGATGAAATCTGGTTTGATGAAATTTCTTTATATACGAACTGTTGATCAGGTTGCTGACCTATTTACTAAAGCCCTAAGAATATACATAATTTGAGAATTGTTGGTCAAGCTTGGAATTTGCACACTCCAGCTTGAGGGAGGTTGTCAAGATGATAAAGAAAACGAAGCAGGAGTTCGTGAAGGTGAAGTAGAGGGTGCAGAGCTGGACTGGACTCATCGAGCTTCAGCTTGAAGAAGACAGCAGTGAAACGCGTTTCGGACTCGAAGACGATTCACTATTTGGGAAGCGTTTCGAGCCTTCATTTGGAACGCGTCATCGTTTTATCAGTTGTGGAGTAAGTTTTATTTCAGCCTTTTTTTTTATCACCACGTGTCAACGTGAACATGTAATTCTTTTTTATTTACCGTTGTGCACAGAAAAACTGGAAAACTTAGTACAAATGAGAAGCAACCCTGCAACTCGTCTTTTTGCAGGTTTTCGATCAAACCGTTGCCCTCTTGATATTTTCTACAAAGCATTTAAAATATGAAATATCAATCAACTATTAAATTATTGATAACACTTTTGTTAGAAGATGATGACTTCGAAGAATTACCGTGACATGACGGTCAGACAAAAAAATATATACAATTTATTATCCAAATCTTTTAACTTCGTAAAATATTGGTCAATCCTTTTAAATAAACAAAATATTGGTCAATCCTTTTAAATAAACAAAATATTAGTCCAACCTTTTAAAATACAAAATATTAGACATTTCATAATATTGTAAATTTTAGTCATTGATCCATTATTGTTAATACAGGGACGAGATTCCCTCTATGGAGCGCACCTCAATAATTGCTATAGAGGATCTTAATATCATCGAGGATTTCACAATCCAGTTAGATACACAAAGAATGTGCTAAAATTCACAAAAATCGAAAATCTATTGGCGATGAGGTGTTGTGCCGCCTCGGTGTTAGGGGCCCAATTAAACGAGATGTCATTTGACTGCCAGATGATTGGCAAAGATTTTCAAAAAATATTAAGCTAGAGATGAGTTAAAACTCACCATCAGTTTGGGGGTAAATGTTGGGGGTGTTACTAAGTTGGCCATGAAAAGACTAAGTAATAAAGCACCGGCTGAAAATGCTACTAATGAGTAGTGTTGTCAAAACCGAAATGTACATTGATCCGGATTAACGAGAGGTTCAAGGTTTATCGGATAACCGTTGATTAACCGGTATCAAAAACCGGTCATAAACCGATGCTTGGCTCTAGATAGGAAAATAAAATATAGAGTAAGGGGAGGTGTCACTTTCCATGTTTTCCGCTGCCTTCGGGTTTTTTTTAAGTATTAATTCAAATTATGCGCCAGTTTGTTTTTCTCCATGCCTGCCTGTTTTTTTTCTTCTGGGACCGGATCTATGCCCAGGTCCGGTTTATCCGGTCAGACCAACCGGTCCGGTTTTAATAACACAGCTAGTGACGTGCACAGACTAAGTAGTGGAGCACCCAACTAGGAGCACCAACAACGATGCCAACCGGGGCTGATTATAGTTGTAACATATTGTAATTTTCTTACTACTATTAGAGGTGAAAATTGGATAGTTGAACCCACAAATCCTCCCACAAATGGTATGAGTGATAGTTGGGTGTGAGTTGTACAATAGATCATTACCCACTAAAGGGAATTGTGGTTGACGCACGGTCCATCAAAATTTTTAACTCTAAGCCGTGAAATCTCCTACCTATAGCTTTACCTAAAATAAAGTCTACAACCTTAAACACATCATAAATATCCGTACAATTTTGATCAAAATATCTTCTAAATTCTTTAGTTATCTATCCTTCCCAATTTTGAATTATAATATGTTCTCAAAGTTATTGTTATTGATATTGAGGATAATTACAAAGTCCAACTTGACCGAAAACCTATATCAAATGTTCATTTCTTTCAACGATTCCTTGTTAATAATTTTTCTTGTATAGTAACTTGGCTTATTTTGCCATTCATTTCATGAGTGTTTGGTGAGTGATTGGTTCAAGACTTAGACAATTAGCTAGATTTGTGATGAAACTTCACCTTTGTTTTATTATTATTTTGTTATAATTAGACTTAATTAGTCCATATTCATCAGTTGTATATCTTTATGATTTGTGAATTATTACTTGTTGAATTTTTCTCCTTCATCACCACATTGTGGGTGGTTCCTTACCCATTCAAATATCCAGAAAATTACCTACTACTCACCCCCTAACTACTATAACATATTTGTGTACGCCATGATATATTTTGTATCACTATCGTATAAATTTTTCAACAAATTAATATATGTTTTATAATAAAATTTGAAATCTTTATTATAACTAAGGAAATATTGCAGATTGAAAATTACTAAGGATAACCTTGGTTATATAGTGGTACTGAAGAAGTTGACACCAGGATATTGTTAATGAAACAGAGAAACCCATTGGTAATGAAATTGCTAACCAAGTCCAACGGGGACAAGACGCAAAGCAAACAGACAGATAATTGAAGTCAAACACAAAGAGGATTAGAGATCCAAACCTTGGAATCTCTAATTCTTAAAGTCTCGCATTGCATTGATCTCTAAGCTTGCCAAGAGCGGACGCCTCTCCACCTTCGAGTTCGTCCAATCTGATCTGCATGTATAAATAGCTGAGCTTCCCAAGGCAACTAGGTAACACATTATCAAAAGAAAATGACGATGATTAGGACGACAACTTTCTACCACCTTTTACTACTGCTGGTGGTTGCCAATGGAAGCTTAATGTTACCAGCAGTCACTTCGTACTCGACGGGGAGCTTCCATGGGTACTGCAACCCGGTTGTTATCAAGGATCGTTGCCTTCTGGAAGAAGCCATCAAGAATGTCATAAGGGACCTGGCCGTGGCCACGCCGTTAAAACGCGGTCTCCGTCTTTGTACGGCGGCGACGGTGGAGGGTTTTACCCAGCACGGCACCGCTAGCTGTAGAAAGAACGTGCGGAGCTGTGCTAGTTGCCTAAATGCTGCCAGGTCTTACCTGCTGACGACTTGCGCCGACCACCTCGGAGGTCGGACTTTTGCAAGAAATGGTGATTGCTATATGAGGTTCGAGAACTATATCTATTGTGATCAGTACTAGCCTAGCCTACGACTAAGCATGAGCGTATGTTTTGTTGGTGTATCATGGGGATTTTCGGAACGGGCGGTAACGTAAGGCCTCGTGAATAAGAAAATATGTATGCACTTTTATCTTTGAAGGAGAAATAAATCTACAGTTACTAATAATTCAGTCACCTAGTATTAACCCTCAAAACGAGAAAATTGATCTTGTTTGGCAATGAGGACTGCAAATTTGATGGGATGCAAATTGTAAGATAAATTAAAGGGAAGAGTAAATTTAAGAAGGGTATAAATTAACGTTTGGAATAAAAAATAAGATATGCAAAATGTGGTATGTTATATGAGTTTTAATATAATATAAACAAAATTATTACAAAATTAAATAAAAACCAACCTAACCCCACCTCCATCCTTCTCTGGCACCACCTTCGTTCTTCTCAATTATTTCCGGAAAAAATCCAAAACTACCACTATTTTTTAAAAAAAAAATTTACAAAAATACCACTCATTCCCAAGAATTTCCAAAAATACCACCGTTTATTAAAAATCGCTCCACTAAGGGGCGGTTAATATAGAAGCCGCACAACCAGGCCGCGGTTTACCATAGAACCGTCTGGTCAACAAGCAGTTTGCTTATTTTGGCAAAAACGCTCTTCGAAAGGGCGGTTTTCATGGCTGCCCTACGACAAAACGCTTCCTCAGGGAGAGGTTACATGTCGGCATGGTAAAACGCTCCAGACATAAACCACTCCCCTCACCAGCGGTTTGTGCCTGGTCACCCGACATCCGACATGTCGGCATGCAGGAGGTTGCAGGCATGGGGGCTGCATGCCAGACAAAAACCGCCCCCCCCCCCTGCGGTTTGTAATGTAAAATTAGCCTATAAAAGGTAGGTCCAGAAAACTCAAAATCTTCACTCCACTCCTCCTTCTTCTTCAAATTTTAGTTGTGCACCTTTAAATTATTTAGTTTTTGTGATTAACGTTAATTCGTAAGTTTATTTTGTATTACTTTTCATTGTCCTTTGTGATTTTTATGTTAGTAACTTAATTACAGTTTTATTGCAGATGTCATTCCAAAGGTTAACGCTTGGGTTGCGGTGGAATGGTTACACGGAAGAGACCAAAAGGGTGTAAGTTACGTGGGTGGATTTTTTTATAAAATGAAGGTCCGTAGGAGACCGATGATTGAAGAAATACATCAAATGTGCACTCAGATTACCTGCATGGAAGGCACTAGAAGAGTTGATCGTATGGTGTATCGATATCCAAACCGACATAGCGGGTCGCTATGGAATGAGGTATTCCTCCTTACCACTCAGGAGGACGTTGATGCCATGGTCCAATTTTTGACCAACAATAAAATCAAGCAAGCGGAGATGTTAGTTTACACCGAGGCGGTCGAAGGCGGTGTAGGTCATTATGGAGATGGCCAAACATCTAGTATCCACGGTGGGAGTGTATTATAAGAAGATTATCCCCACCAGGAGTACAAAGACGCGAGCTGGAGGTCCAATATGATCTTCAACCATGAATTGTTGATTAGATTGTTGGATATCTTCGGGAAGAAAATTCCTCCGATCATGCCGAGGATGTAGATACGTGCATAAATGTCTTCATCACTCTCCGAACTTTCGTCCGTGAGGGGAATGCCTCCGACCTCAGGGTTGTGCTTACGCCTGATCTCCGCTGTCAACCAAGTGATGGATACTTGGCCCTTGAACAATGGTGGATTACCATCCGCATCGTAATCTCCCTTTTCTGGCGGACAAAACCCGGTGACGGTCCATATAAAATGCTGCCAACCACTTATATTGGCAACAACTTTAGGTGGTGGCGTAGAGTCCACACAAATAACATCGCCATCAATGGGCAAATCGGTTAGGATGGCGATGTCCTTAAGTGTGATGGTGCACTCGCCTTCGCGAAAATTGAAGCAATGTGTCTCCTTTCCCCATCGCTCTACCAATGCCGTGATGAGTTGGCAGTCGATATTTATTCCATTAAAGTGCCTAATTGAATCCAATCTTGCCTTTTTTAGAAAGGGCAAGATGACGTCGTTCCATTCAAGCACATTCGTCGTACCACTATAACGGACTATATGGTATGCATCCTACAGAAGAATTTAACTTTCACTAAAAGTTGATGATTTATACATATATAAATCTATTATAACAAACAATATTAATTAAATAAAGTTTGTTTCCGAGAAATATACATTATCTAATAAACATTAATTTTAACATAACTAAAACCATTTTTGAAATTTATGTAAAATTATATTTTGTACACATACACATAAAATCAAATATACTATTTTGTACTTCGTATTGATTGTTTTCAATCATTTAAAGCAATACAAGTACACTCGTAAGACTCTTAGGAGAGATATACATCTCCTTAAAAACACAGTCTGTTGGAGAGAAAAAGGGGGGGATCCGAGGATCGCTTAGAACCCGATTTTCCCAGGTCATGGGAGGACCATGATGATCGCTTAAGACTTCATTTCCTTAGACATGCATTTCTTTATAAAGAGTCTAAATAAGTGTTTTATTGTATTGATTTAAATTATTGAAAATAATCAATACGATTAACAATTAAGTAATTTATTGTACATATAAATAAATTACGTTAACAAAATGAAAATTACAAGTAATGATAAATAATATGTACCTTGTGGTCATTCCAAACGTCTCTTGAACGATGATTGTATTGATCGTATAAAATAGTCAGATCAATAGATCCTTGATCAACATAATATCGTTGATTGTATATATCAACATCCGGCCCAACCTACTATAGCATAACAACAACATAAATCAATTAGTATATAAATTAAATAAACAATTATAAATTGGGTACAATGAGTACGTACCGTTTGATAATAATCATAGTAAATACCCTCTTCTTGGATAAAATCGGCCATTTTTTCATAATCCGGACAGAGATTCGACGGTTTTTTAGTGAAAACCAAAGAAAAAGTTTGTTGAAGGCAGATCGAACTTAGCCGCAACCAACAAAACAACTACTTCCAAGGTTTTTGGGGGGAGGGGGATGGGTAGAGTGAGGAACTTAGAGAGAGAGAGAGAGAGAGAGAGAGAGAGAGAGAGAGAGAGAGGAGAATGGGGGTTTGGTGTGTAGAAAATGTGAGGAAGGGGTGGGTTTATATAGGGACGAAACCGCGTGCTGGATGGCCGGTTTGGTCTTTTTACTCCACGCAAAACCGCGCCTCCATCACACGGGCCCCACATTCTTTCTTCTCCATCGGTCTCCTTCCTTTCCATCTCTTCCTCTCCCATTTGCACCCGAATTTGTAAGGATGAAAGTTTGTTTACAGTATTTGGGATATATCGAATACTGTATCGAATTTGTCAATATTTGGTATTACTGAATACACGTATTATTTTTTGGGATTAGGATTGGGATTGAATTTCAATTGTTATTCGGTATTAAGGATTACGGGATTGAGATCGTTATCTACCAAAATACCGATCACTACCGAAATATAAGCTAGTGTGTATTTTTATCCTCTCAACTAGACTCTCTCATTCACTACTACACAACCCTCAACTACAAAGAGTGTCATTTAATTATACATAGATCATTCCATCAATATTTCACAACTTAGAAGTTCTCGTCCAACTCAAAATTGACTTTCCAATTTATGTCACTCTCGTCCCTCATCTAATCTCTTGTTATTTTCACAATACCAAAAATCAATCTCTTGTATTAGTCGTCTCTCAACCTCAAATTCGTCAAATTAAAGATTACCAATAACAAGAACTTGAGATGTCACCTCTCCTCCATTCTCCTTATCCATATCCTAGCTCTAGGCAAACTCAAGACTCCTTGCTTAATCTCTTTGCCCTAAATTAAACAATAAAATCTAATTTATATATTTAATCATTAATTATAAAGGTAATTAATTTCGTATTCAATAATACCGATTGGGATACCGAAGTATCGATTGGGATACCAAAAAATTTAGGTATTGAGATTGATTTTAGAGTGTAATTCGGCATTCGAGATTTTGATATTTGGTATTGGGATACCAATACCGTACAGATTTCCACCCCTACCAATTTGGGAGGAAACTCAAACAGTAATCTTTCACCCACGTTGCCCACCCCAACCACTGTTCATTTTTATCTAAACGGTGCAAAATTCTTGCGAATGACATTTACCCCCAAGTTTTGCATTCCCTACATTTCCCCTCCTTCCCAAACAAAGCCAAAGAGTTATTTTGGGGAGAACCAAAAAAATGATAATAGAGTGTTAATCAAAGTTTAATAAAGCAAAACAGATGATTAAATATTGTATGGGTTAATAGCATTTTGTACCTTTATACTATTGTAAATAAACAAACGTACCCTTTTACTATATTTTTGCACAAAAATACCTTTCTAATTTTAAAACGTAACGAATGTACTCTTCCGTCTAATTATCAGTTAAGTTACCGTTAAAAAGGTGGAAAATTACCCAATTGCCCCTCCTTTACTCATAATTTTAGTTTTAATTATTTTATTTATTTCTTTCTTTCTTTCTTAAGAGAATAAACCCTAGAACAATTCACCCAGTCACAAGAAACCGTCCGTATCCCTGGCGGTTCGTCCCTCGGCGGCGCCTGCTCCCGGGTTCCCCTCTGTCAAATGGTAATTTGCAATAGGTAATTATCACCACCCAACTATACCCCATTGCCATAAACGCAAGGAGACATACATTATCTCATTAGTTAGAACTAGCTATCAAATTATGCAAGTTGGTTATGACATGAGAGGCCAAGTTGATTGACGACAAGAAGACTCAACAAACGGTGAATTATGCAAGCACCTCACATGGCCAGCAAATGGATTGAAAAGTTCAATAGATGAGAAAATAATGTATGGGACACAATAACTATCATGTCCTTTCTCATTTATGTTCATGCATGAGTGGTGAGTTATGGTTTCTTTTGTTTTCCGTTTTTGTATGTGTTTGTCAGAAGAATGGTTAGAGAGAGAAAACAAAAAGAAAAGAAAGA